TGTCAAAGAAAAGAAAACGAGTGCCCATAGTCCCAGCTTCAGGAGGCAGAGATGGGAGAATCACTTAAGGCCGGAAGTTGAAGGCTGCAGTACGCCATGATCATGGCTGTGACAGCCACTGTACTCGAGGCTGGGCAACATAATGAGACTCCATCTCTTAAAAAAAAAAAAGAAAGAAAGAAAAAATGAGAAATAAAATTTAGAACATGTAATGGCTACTCATCAAGAAATACAACGTCCATTTACAAATATTTGGGCATAGTTTACTGTTTCTCAATGGGAACACAATTGGCACCTGAGATGAAAAACTATTCAACGTGAAGCAATGTCCAGCACAATGCAAGACATTTAGCATTCCTGTTACCTGCCCGCTAAATGCCATTGTGTTCCCCTACCCCAATCACTGTGACAATCAAAAACAGCCCCCCAAAATTCTAAACTCCTTCTCTAAGAGTGTTACACAATGCCACCCATAGTTGAAAACCAGCAGTAGTTTGAAAGCACTGCAAACTTTTCCTATCTTAATGAAAATCTAACATAGACTCCCAAATTTCTGTCTTAATATACAGAACATACCTAATATAATTTTAACATTTCTTGATGATAGAGAGTCTTAAGAACACTGACTATTGGCCAGGCATGGTGGCTCACACCTGTGATCCTAGCACTTTGGGAGGACGAAGCAGGCGGACTGTCTGAGCTCAGGAGTCCGAGAAGAGCCTGGGCAAAATGGTGAAACCCTGTCTCTACTAAAAGTACAAAAATTAGTCAGGCATGGTGGTGCGTGCCTGTAATCCCAGCTACTCAGGAGGCTGAGGCAGGAAAATTGCTTGAACCCGGGAGGCAGCGTTGCAGTAAGCCAAGATCATGCCACTGCACTCTAGCCTGGGTGACAGAATCAGACTCTGTCTCAAAAAAAAAAAAAGACTATTAAGTATTACTGTAATTTTTTTTTTTTTTTTTACAAGACAGCATCTTGCTCTGTCACCAAGGCTGGCGTACAGTAGCACCTTCTTAGCACTCTGCAGCCTCGAACTCCTGGACTCAAGCAATCCTCCCACCTCAGCCTCCCAAATAACTAGGACTATAGGAGCATACCACCACATCTAGTTCATACAATTTTTTGTAGAGATGTTTCACTATGTTGGCCAGGCTGGTCTCAAACTCCTGGCCTCGAGCAATCCTCCCACCTCAGCCTCCCAAAGAGTTGCAATCACAAGCATGAGTCACCATGCCTGGCCTGCTATTGTAATATAATAAGATTCTTGGAAATTAAAGTCTGTGTTATCTTTGATCCTGTATTAATGACCCAAGTCTATTATATTTGAATATGATAAGACTATTATTTAACATATATACTGATTTACAGTTCTTTTTCATTTTATCCTTTTGAGCCAGCATTATTTCTTCTGGGATCTGTCTACCTCTAGGATTCTCCCTATATGAGAGTAATTTTTATCACTAATGACCAAGTTTATTAAATCAAAAAGTCTGAAGTGACAGATGAAGTCTTGAAGATGGCTCCAGGTCTTCCTAAAAATTAAAGTGCATGGGCTTAAAGATAGCTACCCTCTAAGAATTTAACTTACTTTTGGTTTTAAAACTATGTAATAACTTAAAAAATTCCAAAGATCTGACAGTTGAATAAATCAGAACAAAGCATTTATTATTAAATAATTAATCTTCAGGACTAAAGTACACTATTATATACTACCAAATACTCTGATCGAGTATTATAATTATTACTAATAATATTTAAATAACTCACCTGATTTCTTTTAGTCCTTCTCTCTGGATAACTTGAAGAATTTCTTTATGACTCATGGGTGTATTGGGGTATTTTTCTAAGACCTGAAAAACAAGCATATAATAATAAATTATTTCTTATCTCAAGTTCTTATAATTCTATATATAATTATATTTCTTATGTCTTAATAATTATATCCAGAGCATACATATCCAGAGACTTTTCATCCCTTATATTTCAGAATAAATGAAAAATTAACAATATATATCAGATCTTCTTTCCCTCAGTCATAAATAGTAAGTCAACTCCTGAAGCAGAAATTGACCAAAAAAGCTAAAATTAACAACCCAATTATTCACTACTAATAATATGCAACTGTTTACTTTCTACCTCCATCCCCACATCCCTTCACTACCTGTGACCTACTGCAAGCACATTAAGATTATCCATTTCCTGGTAAATGTATAGCAAAGCCTAGTAAATCACAGGAGCACAATAAATTCTTAACCAAAACAAGTAAACAATATGATTATAATAAAATTAAAGTAATATCTGTGTTCTGGTTCTGGTAAAGACAGAGTAGGCATAGTCCATTCTGTCTCTACCACTGAATGCAACTAAAAACCTGGACAGAATGCATGAAGCAGCTATTTGAGGACTCCAAAAATGGTGGCAGGTGGCCTACGGAGAAAAGCATAACTAGGAGTACCACACTAGTCCAGCAGTGAGTTTCCTGATTTTGTTTCCCTCTGGTTCCCCTGAGCCTGGACTTAAAGGCAGCCCAAAACCCGGAACTGCAGGCTAAGTGCAGGCAGAAAGTGCTCCAAGAGAAAAATCTTCTTTGGTCTGAGGCACAGTAAAGAGGGCATTTCTAAATGTTGGATAGAGGGAGAAAAAATTCTCTGGGTTTTCCCCCTCTTTTCTTTTTCTCTGCCGTTGCCCCAGGCAATCGCATGGGAGCAGCTGTGGTAATACTAACAGTAGCTAGACAGGGACCTAAAACTCCAAGAAAGCAGAACCTTGCAAGTGGTCCTACAAGCATGGGAAGAATTCCCATGATTTATCTCGGCCAGGCACAGTGTTTCGTGCCTGTAATCTCGGCACTTTGGGAAGCTGAAGCGGGCAGATGACTTGAGGTCAGGAGTTCAAAACCAGCCTGGTCAACATGGTGAAACCCCATCTCTACTAAAAATACAAAAATTAGTCAGGCATGGTGGTGAGTGCCTGTAATCCCAGCTACTCAGGAGGCTGAGGCAGGAGAATCACTCGAACCTGGGAGACAGAGGTTGCAGTGAGCTGAGATTATGCCACTGCACTCCAGCCTAGGCAACAGAGCGACACTCCATCTCAAAAAAAAAAAAAAAAAAAAAATTAGCGGGGCATGGTGGTGAACCTGGGAGGCAGAGGTTGCAATAATCCGAGATTGTGCCCCTGCACTACAGCCTGGGCAACAGAGCCTGTCTCAAAAAAAGAAATAATGTCTAATAAACAATTCAAACTTACTCAACATAGGAATAGTAAGGAAATCAGCAACTCACAAGAGAAAAGATAAGCTATATATAATAAACCTAAAGTAACAGAGATGTTGGAATTATCAGACAAAAGTAGCTATTACAACTATGCTTCAAGATGTCTGGTGAATATTCTTGAAACAAATAGCTAAGAGTCTCAACAGATATATATGTATATTTCGTAAAAGTTTTATTTTTTTGTTTATACTTACATTTATATATGAAACAAAAATACAATAACCAGTAATATGTCCAAACATAATACAGCAAGATAAATGGCAGCCAAAATTCAAATCCAAGTCTTGCACCACTATAGCACACTGTGTCCTGTGTTTGTAACTATTTTCTCATTTGGTCAGTCATAAAATCCAACACATATTTCTGTGTATCATGTTCCTTGATCTCTCTGCTACATCTGACATTAACTGTTCCCTTCACAGACTTCACCCTCCCAGACTTCTTTTTCCCCAAAATATTTTTCTCAGTTTTCTTTGTAGATGTCTTTTTCTGTGACCATCCCTCAAATATTTTATAAACATCCATTTACCCCTTTTACTTTTCATTTTCACTCCACCAAAATTTCCCTGAATAACATTAACCACACCAAGCTTTCACCAATCACTCACATTTTGATGAATGAAGCAGCAGTCTGTTAAAAACTATTAAAAACCTGTAAAAGTTGGATATCCCATAAGCATTTCAAACTTCAGATGTCCAAAGTTAAACTTACTGCTTTCATCCAAGTTAAGGCCAATACAGAAAACTGAACCTTTATTTATTTATTGTCTATATACTAAAAATGTATTAAAGTACTGAAAATAAACAAAAATACACCATGGACCTGGACAAATAATAGTTCACAAAAGGGTTAATATAACTGGATAATAACCATATGAAAAAGAATTTGCACACTGAAGTATTTATGGATGAAATATGATGTCTGGGACTTCAAAAAATACACAAGAAGTTATGGGTTTAAATATAGCAAGATTGGCCATAAATTGATAATTATAGAAGCTAAATGATGAACACAAAGATATTCACTATATTATTGTCCACTTTTACATACAAATTCAATATCCTATAAAAATTTATGAAGCAAACGAAATACAATATTTGACTTTACTAGCAATCAAATATAATACATTTCAATGTGGGTTTTTTCCTGCCAATTTAAATGGCAAAAATGGCTACGTTTGCACGTATACATCTGTCCAAGGAGCTAGAAAACTGAAATAAGTATTTCTAGAGTGTCATTTCTCTGGCACATCAAATCTTAATTGAAAGGTGACTATTAAATCATTATCAGAATGAGCCACACTCAGAACTGAAAATATTTGTATTATTCATGGCAATGGTAAAAAATAATATTTTCTAATATATTCTGCAGAACAAGGAATTAAGTTATTTTAATATTCTAATGTGTTTGAAACATCCTAAGACATTAAGCTATTAGAAGTGGAGACCGGTTGGGTGCGGTGGCTCACACTTGTAATCCCAGCACTTTGGGAGGCTGAGATGGGCAGATCACAAGGTCAGGAGATCAAGACCATCCTGGTTAACACGGTGAAACCCCATCTCTACTAAAAATACAGAAAAATTAGCCGGGCATGGTGGTGGGCGCCTGTAGTCCCAGCTACTCAAGAGGCTGAGGCAGGGGAACGGCGTAAGCCCTGAAGGCGGAGCTTGCAGTGAGCGGAGATTGTGCCACCACACTTCAGCCTGGGCGACAGAGTGAGATTCCATCTCAAAAATAAACAAATAAATAAATAAATAGAAGTGGAGACCGAAAACTGTGTCTTTTTAGTAAGGATTTCACTGATTTCCAAGATGTTCTGTACTTTAATCAAACAGAGTAAACCAGTTGGTTAAAACTACTGAAGGAGGCCAGACACGGTGACTCAGGCATGTAATCCCAGTACTTTGGGAGGCCAAGGCAGGTGGATCACCTGAAGTCAAGAGTTCAAGACCAGCCTGGCCAACGTGGTGAAACTCCATCTCTACTAAAAATACAAAAATTAACTGGGCGTGGTGGCGGGTGCCTACTGTAGTCCCAGCTACTAGGGAGGCTGAGGCAGGAAAATTGCCTGGACCGGGAGGCGGAGGTTGCAGTGAGCCAAGATCGCGCCATTGGGC